GCACACTCACCCTCGCGCTCTCGTGCGGCCACCCTGGAGGGCAGCCCTCTGGCCCAGGCAGCGACGCGCGTGTGGCGATGATCTCAGCACCACGCACGCACGCAGACAGGCGCCCAAACGGCACATAGGCAAGACAGAGTACTCCAACGAGCCAGAAAGCAGACGCCAAAAGTGTGCCGGTGCGACGATGCTGATGATGATGGTGATGATGATGGTGATGATGATGATGATGATGATGATGATGATGACGATGATGGTGGTGATGGTGATGGTGATGGTGATGGTGATGGTGATGGTGATGGTGATGGTGATGATGATGATGATGATGATGATGAGGAGGAGGAGGAGGAGGAGGAGGAGGAGGAGGAGGAGGAGGAGGAGGAGGCGAGGGGGGGCGAATCTCTTGCACAATCCTCCCCAAGCCCTGCGAAACCCACTTTCCGTGCATGCCCTCCGCCTCCAAGTCGGCCTCCACTCCCTGCTTCTCTTCTGACCCTGCCCCTCTTCTCTGACCCTTCGTCCTCCACTCCCTACCCTTTTTCTGACCCCGTCCTCCACTTCCTCTCATTCGTCCTCCACTCCCTCCCCTCCGCTTCGTCCTCCTCCACTCCTCACTCTTTTCCTCCTTGCCTTATTGTTGCTCCTCCCTCCGACACTGCTCTACCTCGTGGCAACTCGACGCGGTACGTCGAGCAACAGGGAGCCTTGCCGGCCACACCTGGGATGGTGGCGATCTGCCAACGCTGTGCACGACCGATGGGCCATCAGTCATACCCAGCGAGGCCATCAGGCACACCCATTCTTTTGGGCCGCTGGGAAAGCACAACCAACACTGCAATCTCCACAAGCCCTGGAGACTCTGATATTGACCAAACTATTCAATTGACACAACTTTTGCTTCCGCCAGGCTTCCGCCAACGAAGCCACCAATGCCTTTCCTTCCGCTGGCTTCCCGTTGAGAGCAAAAGGTCGACCCCTGGAGCTCTCATGTTGAGGCCCTATCTGAACCGACGTACGTGGCCAGCTCCAAAAAGTCTGAATCTAAACACATTGGCATCTCTTAAGGGGGGCATCTTCGCCCCGGCGCCTAGCAAGGGCAACAACAGGATACGCATCCGACCTGGTGCTGACAATGCTCTCGTCCAAGAGATGCGATGTCCTGATTCTGGCAATGCAAAGTACCTGGAAGTCCGACCCTATCCCCAAAGCCAATTTTTCAGTCCGAATCTTTTCTTGACCGTCATGTGGCGCAGCGCGGGCCCCCGGAGGCCGAACACGGCCAAACATCTCCCGTCGTTATATTTGTTCAACGACCCCATCATGTGTGGGCTATGATCCGCGCAAGTGTCGCCGCAACGACCCTCGTTGAGCAGGGACCGACCGTCCCAGAATTCCTAAATACCAACCACGACATGTTCTTCGAACTAACGAATGTTCAAATTCTTAGAATAAAACCGACGTGTTGAACCAAGACGGTCTCAGCGAGAAATGCTCTAAGGACATTCTTTGGTGAGCCTTAGGGAGGCCAGGGCGCCTCTCCACTGCTTGAGCTCGAACCTGACTGCCGAGCACGGCCCTGCGCGGGCACGGAGGACAAGGGCTGCCAGAACCGCCGGTGGGCTGGCGAGGACAACGGGCGACGCGAAGGCTCCGATCACCGCGCGTGCTGCCTCGGCCGCCTGGCAAAAGCTTGCAGCCCACCGAGGTTCTCGGCTCCTCCGAGGTTGTGACAATCGAAGAACACCGATGGGTCAGTACAATCGACATGGGTACGGGAATACTCGTGACGAAGACCAGCAGCAGCTCCTGTCCAGCTTGAACAAGACTCGCTGTCGGCGTCGCCGCGGGCATTGTCTGTTTGAGGCAGAGAGAAACGCCCGCCCGACAGCGGCTGCTGCCGGCTTTGGGCAACATTTGCTGTTCGGCACCGTGCCATATTTTTTCCGTGCTCATTTCGGGCGGGCCGAATGGCGGAGTTCGGAAATCCTGAACCCAAAACAGTTTTTATCTCTTGGGGGCGCATCTTTTACTTCCGCCGCCTTCCGCCGGCGGGGGCGGCCTCGTTTTGCTTCCGCCGACCTTCCGCCGCGGAAGAGGTGGCAGCTCCTTCCACCCTCGAAGGCGAGGCCCTGGAACACGCACAGATGGAGATAACGGCGGCTCTCCCGCCCGGCTCAGATCCGCTCCAGGTTGGACTCCGGACCCCTCCTGTGGGGGGGGGGAGCCCTTCTGGCCCCGTGTTCTTCGACGCGGATCCCGCGCTGTGGCGACGCGCAGCCTCCACGGGGAAGCCCGAGAAGGCGAACAACTTTCGCGAGGGAAGGCCGCCGTGGTCGCGACTCGCTCTCCTCAGAAGCAGGGCGCGGGGGGCACACTCTTCGAGTAGGGGATCGACTGCAGGATGGATTTGCCCCCAAATTGATCCTCCGTCGAATCTACGAAGAGTGCGTAGAATGTTCCGTAGATCTCAGCAGGGCCTTCTGCATTTTTTCGTAGATTCGGCGGAAACGCACAATTTCTGGGGTACGTGACTCTTCTCTGTGGAGGATCCCCCTCGTCGAGCTATGCCCCCCTCCCCGCCGGCCTCGGGCGAGGGCCCGTCGCCTCTCTGCCGCGGCGGGCTCCTCTGCCCCAGGAAGAGAGGCGCCGGCCTCGCGATGCCTCAGGCTTGCGGGGCCAGCTTCCTCCGCAAGCGCAGCGCTGGACGAGGAGGAGGAGGCGGAGGAGGAGCTGAGGAAACGTGCCGCGCTCAGCGTGGGCCCCATGCAGCGGCTCCCGGGCACGGCTGCAGTCCAGGGTCGAAGGGAGGGCCTCTTCCTCTCTTCAGCGGACAGGCGATGACCATGCTGCGAAGCGCCAGTGCCACCCGCAAGGCAGAAGCTGTTCAGCGACGGCAGGTGCACGGGCGCAGGGCATCCCTTCCCTTGCCGAGGCCGCGGCTCTTCTGGCGGCGCCTGGCGCGTCTCGGGGGCCCCTCCTCTGCGGCCATCTCCCTCGCGGCCGGGCTCTCTCTATCGTCGCTCCTCCTGCGTGGGGCACGGCAGCTCGGCTCACCAGCTCTGCTTGTGCCTGGGGCGGGGTGGACCGGGAGCAGCGCCGACCCGGGCCGGCCAAGGCTATGCCGTGGACTCAGGTCAGCAGAGGGAGAGGAAGGGGGGGGGTCGGCTCCACATGGCGGGACCGGAAACCCTGACCCCAAACGGTTGTCATCTCATGAGGGCGCATCGCTTACTTCCGCCAACTTCAGATGGCGGAGGTACCCCGGTTATACTTCCGCCTCCTCCCGACGAAGAGATGTCAGAACTTTCTAGGACTCGAGGGGGTCTGGGCCCTGGGCCTGATTTCTCGGAGTCTCTTCAGGCGACATGCGCACGTTTGAAGCCCGTGTCAGTCTTGGCTGGGCTACACGCCAGAGTGACCCTGGGCAAGAGTGACCTTTGGTGCTCGGCTTCTTGGGGGCCGCGGGGGGACCAAGCACAAGCGCGCGAGACGCTGCTACCGCATCGTGTTCCGCGATCGGGGGACCCCACTGGTCCCGCACCAAAGGTCACTCTGGCGAAAGGTCACTCTTACGTGTAGTCGAGTCTCCGTCCTGCACCCTCGCCGCCAGCGTCGCGGAGAACTAGCAGCACGGAGGAGGTGGATGAGGAGGAAATAGGAGGAAAATGAATACGATGATGAGGGTGATGAGTCTCGAGGAGGATGGGGGGAGGAAAAGGAAGTGAAGCAGCATGAGCCGTATGATGAGGGAGGAACGGTTGAGGGGATGGAGGAGGAAGAGGAGGAGGAGGAGGAAGGAGAGGATGAGGCGGAATCTGAGCATGGAGGAGCACGGAGGAGGAGGACTAGGCATACGACTCCAAGAAAAGGATGAGTCCAGGCGAGGCGGGGAGGAGGCGCGGCCTGCTGAGGAAGAAGCCCGCGATCCAGATTGCGAGGCCTCGGCGTGTCGAGACATCCTCCCTGTTCGTCCTGGTTGCCGTCTTCCTTCTTATCTCCTCCTCGTCCCCCCTTGGGTAAGACGGGGCATGGTGAGAAGGATGGGTCGGAGGATGGGGATGAGGAAGAGAGGGAGGATGAGTAGGCGAGACCGTCTCAACCTTGAGGCAAATAGGCGGGGCGGAAGCCGACGTGTTCAATCCCACCAGCCCTCTGGGCGTCGGTGGCTTGGAGAGTTCGTTTTTCGAAATCCCTTCTTCCCCCTGGGGGAAGGATTTACCTCCTTTTCTACCACCTCACCTGGGTCCGGTCTGGACGGAGGGTTTCCCGAGCGGTCCGAGGGTCCAAGATGGCCCTGGATGGCCGAACATGGCTCCCAAGATCGCACACGAAACAGCCTCATCGATGCATCCAAGAGGTCCCAGTGCCGCCCCCATGCGGCTCCAAGTGGCCACGGGGCCTCCCCAAGACTTCAAGCCCCTCAGACACCCAAGTGGGGGCACCCGCGTTTTTCATAACCTTCTCGCCTTTTCGCCTCCTTCGGCAGACTTCTGAGACCCCAAGAAAGCCCAATCGTGGCTCCAAAACTGCCCCAGGAGCGCGCCGCGAGAGCGCACTGCGGCGGTGGCGGCCGCGGCGGGAGCGGCGACGCCACACCCGCATCTTCTCTTCTCGCGCTGCTGGGTGACACCCGCGCTCGGGAACCAATCCGATGCTGGAGCGCAAGCCGTGGGCTGCCGGAGCGCCCCCGCTCGGTAACCGTCCAACGGTGGAAAGCACGCCGTGGGCTGCCAGCAAGCGCTTCCTTGGTCAACATTGCAGTGCTGGAGCGCATCCGTGTTGTCGGGGAGCGCCCCCGCTCGAACACGCACTGGCGCTGGAGCACCCCCACCGCGTAAACGTAGAAGCAGGGAAGATGGGGAGGATGGGGCGGCTGGGGATGCATGCAATACAGCAGTGCGCTCCCGCCTCGATCTCCAAAGGGCCGCGGGCGCAGCGAGGATCCAAGCGTGAAGGCCGCCCCGTACAGACCCTGATATGTGCACGTTCGCCTTTAGCTTTCACTTGCAGCAGTACTCCACTGACTGCAGGAGAAGCGTGCTGGGGGGGGCACGGGGGAGGTGGAGAGGGCAAGCGAGAGGAGGGAATCCACGACGACGAGAACATGAGAGGGCTGTAAGAGCGGGAGTGGGATGGGGTGGCGACGGCGACGACGACGCTGCCGAGAAGGGGGCAGGAGGACGACGACGAAGCGTCGACGGTGGTCCTCCTCCTCCGCCTCCTCCTTCCCATGCACCCGCCTCCTCCCTGACTCTCCCCTTTGTCGTCGGCGCGGCGCCGCGGGCGGTGGAGCGGCAGTGCTCGCGAGCGCTGCGCTGCCCGGCCGCGCTGGCCGGGGCGCTGCGGGCCCCTCCGCGGAGGCCTCGGAGACGGCCAAGGCGGCCCCGAAGAGGATCGCAAAGATGGCCCCACGCATGCCACAAGGGTGGCCCTCCTTCTCCTTCTCACCTGCACTGGCGCTGACAGCACACACACACACACACGTTATGTATATACGCGGGTATAGCCGCACACCACGTGACATCCCAGCTTAACCGACATGCCCCCCCCCCTTCCCTCCCTCCCTTCCTTCCCAGGACGGCTCCAAGACGGCCCCGGGAGGGCCTAGAGGCGGCCCCCCTGGGAGGCCCTCCGAGACCCGCCACCCCACCGACGAGCAGGCCCTCGCGGAGCAGTCACGCGAAGAGGCGCTGTGGATCGACCCGCTCCCCAGCTGGCCTGAGTGGACTTGTTTTGGATGGTGGATGGACACCGTGGCCAGGGCTGTGCTTTCTGCGAGGGTTCGGCGTCGAAGTTTCCTGGGGCTTCCTGGGGCTCCTTGGGGCTTCTTGAAGCTCTCTGGGAGCTCCCTGGGGGCTCCATGTGGCTCCCTGGGCCATCCTGGGGCTGCCTGGGATCTCCTGGGAGCTCCCCGGGACTCTCCATGGGCTTCCTGGTGCGTTCTGGGATCTCCTGGGAGACCTGTGGACTCCTTGGGGTTTCCTGGGGCATCCTGGAGCTCCCCGGGAGCTTCTGGGAGCTCCCTGGGGCTCTCTGGGGGCTCCTCCCGCCGCCCCACTCTCACAGAGAGGAAAAATAGGCTCAGACCTGACACAAGTCACGACAAGGACGATTTCTGGCGATCTTCGGCCTCCAAGGCCCCGGGACTGTCAATAGAAAGGCTCGGGCCTATAAACCAGTCCCGTGGACGGGGTCCAGACCTCCAGGATCCATAATGTGAAACAAGAGCGTCTTTGGGGGTGTGGGTCCCTCGCCATCCCCTCTCAAAGGATGACAAGAAGGAAGGCGGTTCGAGGCTTGAGAATCGAGGGTCATGGTGTTCGGATGCTTCTTGGGCCTCTCTGGGCCTGCTGGGGGCGCCCTCGTCGCAAAAGCGCCTCGAATTCCTGGCCACGACGCACCTCAAGACGCGCCCAGGGGCCGACTTTTAGGGAGGACGGTCAGACAGACCTCCAGCGAACTGAACAGCCGGTGACGGCTGCTTTCTCCCCACATCCTGCGGCCTCCAACGGCACGCCTCGGGCCCTCAAAACCATACCAACCGGGGACGCGCGGAACCAGGTCAACGCCGACCTGGGTCAGCCAGGGCTGTGTCCCGAACCTAGGCCGGCCAAGAAAGAGCCCCCACTCCCAAGTCAACGGAAGACGAAGATGAGGAGGTCGGCTCCACACAGCTTCCCGTGTCGGCCAGAGAGGATACTGGCCCGTGATTCGAGGAGTCGAACCACTGGGAGTGCTTACTCATCGCTCGCGTCAGGTGCAATTGCCATACGTCTGGCGGGCAAGTGCGAGGTCTCAGTATACAAAGTGCATTGGAAATCCCACTAAAGACATCCCAAGAGTGGAGCGCCCGACTCTGGCCCTGACTCTGCCTCGCAGGTGGAGCCTGGACTGGAGGCGGCGACCGTTGCCGAGTCCGGTGCGGTCCCTCAGGCTGCGAACACAGGACCAAGCTGTCCCTTCGACGAGGTGGAAGAAGCGGCTCGGCTCCTGCATGATATGGAGGATTAGAAGGGGGAGGAGGTTCCTGCCCCGTCTGAGCCTCCCCCCTTCCCCTCGGATGCTGGCACTGCGGCGGTGCCTGTGGCTGATCCCCACGAGTGCGCTGACTCCGAAGAGGATGAGCCCAGGACGGTGGGGGGTCGCGGCATCTCTGTCTCGCACGGCGCAGCGTGCTGCCCACGGTGGCGGCCAGCACGGCAGCGCTCCGGCCTCTTCCTCGGGCTCTTCTGTGCAGGTTCTGCGCCGAGTGGTGCAAGACCTCCGAGCAGAGGTCGAGCGCCCCTTGGTTATGCCGCGTAGTGTTGACAACGTATGTGACTCCGAACAGTTTCTCACCAAGGTCAGCGGTTGCCCGCCTTGGTGGAATCATTTGCCAATTCAGTTTGCTACATCTCTCGCCTTGTGGGCCCGCCTCCAGGTCGTTCGGCGGAGGTGGGCCCTGTTGAGCGAGAAGTGCTTGCGTGGCCATGCGTGCTTTGCCAACGGGCCTTCTTTTGGCGCAATGCTCCTGCCTCTGTGCCCTCTCAAGCCCTGCCTAACTGCCCGCGCTTGGTCGGGGTTCCTGGCTCCGTGTGTCCTGGCCCTGGATTCGCCACGGCTGAGGTCCGGCACATGCGACGCAATTCTGGGCCCCAAGCCTGTCCTCCCGCGGGCTTGGGACGCTTCTCCGCGGTGCAGCTGGCAGGCCCTGATGCCGCCAGCTTATTTAGCCCCCACAGCTGCATATCCCAGGGCTAGCCGCTGCTGCTGTGTGTGTGTGTGTGTTTGCTCTGGTCGGGCCCGGCTTCCTCCTCCCTCCTCCTCCTCCTTCTCCTCCTCCTTCTCCTCCTCCTCCTCCTCCTGCATGGTGGCTCAATTCGCGTTTCGTGCACCTACCAACGCCCTACCGCCAGCGCAATAACTCTGCCTAGCCGCCGACGGAAAAAGTAGTAGTGTGTTGTGTGTGTGTGTGTGCAGTGTGGTTTGCTGGTTGATGTTGAATAATCTCCTCAACTCCTCTCCTTCTCCTCGTGTTTACTCTTCTTCTGCTCGTCCTCGTCCTCGTCCTTCTCGCTCTGCGCGCCTCCCGCGCGCGCGGGGAGGAGGGAGAGGAGGAGGGAGGAAGCAGCGAGGAGCACTGAGAAGGAGGACGAGAGCAAACCCAGCATGCATCAACGATGCTGCAGTGCGCCCCCCCGCCCCCCAGAAGCCCTGACCACAGGCCCCTGCAGGCGTTCCTTGCGACGCGGGACGCGTCCGCCCCATGGGAGGACGAGCGCCCCGTGGGCCCGCGCGGCGTACCATACTTGGGCGAGAGCCCCGCGCTGAACACGAACATCTGCCCCGCACTCTTCTGCGTTCGGGGAGTGCGGAGAGGCGTGACCATACAGCTCGGGGACGTGCCCAGCGAGAGCTCACGCCCCGGTTTGAAGCGTGCGCCGCCGCCATCCCTGTGGAGGTCGCACCCTTTTGAGCATCTGGTCTCGATGTTCGAGGGAGACTTCAACGAGGGCCCCATCTTGACAAGGGGCCGCCATCCCTTCGTGCAACTGCTCGAGATTCGGAAGACGAATGTGAGCGGCGCTCAGGCGAGAATCACATTTTGAACACGACATTCCCTCCGTTCTTACAAGGACTGGAGAATGCGCGAGGCGCTAAGGCGAGAGTCGCATTCTGACAACAGCCCGCCCTTCTATCCTTATAACTTGTTGGCAACTTTCGAAGCGAATGCGCATGTGCGCGGCGCTTAGCATTTTGAAAACCGTCTGCCCTCCATCCTGGTACTTGCGGTCTTTTCGAAACTTCAATCTCCAAGATCACGTAGCGGTGAGGAAACCTCGGGCGAAATGTCCAGTCCGACCTGCCGACGCGTCTGGTAATGAGGCGAGGAAGAGTAAGTAAGAAAGACAGAGGGAATAGGAGGAAAGGGAAGGACCGGCTGAGGTCCCAGGCACGCCAGGCTCCACACCAACATGGCGACGTAAATGAAGGCGTACGAGTGTGCCGCTCGCCTGATCCACTTCGCGGGGCACTCCACCTCGGGGAGGGAGGGAGGATGAGGAGCAGGAGGAGGAGGAGGAGGAGGAGGAGGAGGAGGAGGAGGAGGAGAAGTTTGAAGGAGGGGCAGCAGGTGGAGGAGGGAATGAGGAGGGAACATGAATCAGCAGGAGGAGAAGGAAAGGACGAAGGGAGGGAGGCAACGACAGATGATGATGCTGATGCTGATTCTGCTGCTGCTGCTGATGATGACGATGAGCATCAGCGTAAACCCAGGATGCATCAACAAATCAGCTAAACCCTCCCTCCAGATTCCCTCCCCGTAGGTCCCTGCAACAACTTCTCTTCATTGCGGGCAATGGCCCTATCGGAAGACAACCGTTTGAGAATCCACCGTCGCGCCCAAACACCATTCCTGGGGCTTCAACGCCGCGGATCAACGTGACTGTTGCGTCCTGGCCACCCTGAGCCGTGCCAGAACACCTAGTTCCTGGGACGTCAATGCCGCGAATCAACTCGACTGCTATGTTTCGACAAGCCGAAATCGTGCCATAACGCAACTCCTGGGACTGCAAGCCTACAACGATGTTTAAAATTCCTTGGCGTTTAGAACGGAAAACGAAACGAACCCGAACATCTTAAATAGACGAACGTTTACAACGAAACGGGTGCCAAACCGAAAACGAAAAACAAAACGAAACAACTACTCAACGATATCACAACATGAACAACGGAACAAACTTCGCAGACCACGCTGGGAACAAAAAGGAACACGAAACGAAGGCATGGACCAATGGCTGGGGCCAGAACAGCATTGGCGTGGGTTTTGGGCCATGGCGAAAGCGAGTTGCGAGGTTCTGGCTAGGAACTATGGCCAGGGCGAGGGGCGAGATTCTGGCTAAGGCTTGGGCAGAATCAGATGCAAACAACAAACCGAACAGCGTAACGAAACGAACGCCCAGAACTATGGCTGGAGTGATGAAGACTGGGACCCAGGCTGAAGCTCAGGCCAGGAGTGCAACAAAACAGCGGTAACAAGGACCAACGCAACTACACACGAAACGAATGCCCCAAAGCTATGGCTAAGGCAAGGGGCGTAATCATGGCTGGGCCTTGGGCCACCGACAACGATCAACAACATAAACACCCATCCGAATCACGAAACGAAACATCTTGCATTCCTATCAAGCGTGACCTTGCAATTACAACACAACGACAGCGCGACGCAACACGGACAACGCAACGACACGCGCAATGAACGGATCTAACATAACGAAACTCTAACACCAACCTTGGCCTCGTAACAACACATAACGAACAACGACACGCGCGCCAACAAACAAACGTGTACACACAACACGCATTTAACACAAAAGCGAACACATAACGGAACAACAACGGACACCCTTACGAACAACAAACACAAGAGCTAAACCCCAGACAAACAGAGCTGTGCTCAATCCCATCTGAAATTGTGCAGAACTTTTGAGACGAGTGTGCGCGGCGCTAACACGAGACCCACATTTTGAAAAGGAGCTGCTCTCCATCCTTGAAACTGCTGCAAGCGTTTGAAACGAATGTGCGCGGCGCTAACGCGAGAACCACATTTTGAAAAGGAGCCAGCCTCTACTGGTGGAACTGGCACACTCTTAAAACGAATGTGCGCGGCGCTAAAGCGAACAACACACTTAGAAGCCGACCCGCCATACACCCATGACATTATTGCAAACTGTTAAGACAAATATGCGCGGCGCAAAGGCGAGTATCACATGCAGAAACCGCCCTCCATCCTTGACACTGCTGCACCATGCAAGCTGCAAGATCATACGTGGCGAAGAAATCTCAAACGGAATGCTTGGCCCGCCCTGCCGACACGCCTGAGGGCGCGAAAAATGGGGAGCTGTTTCCAAGGACGACGGATCGAGGAGGAGGGAGAAGGACGGGGAGCACATGGAAGAGGGAGGAGGATGAGGAGGAGGCAGAGGCAGATGACGAGGAGGAGGAGGAGGAGGAAGAGGACACCGCCCCGATAATTGCTAAATGCTGGGCGCACAACACCATACTGAACATGGCACTCGCTACATCTCCCGTGTGGCCTCGGCAATTCCATACACCTGCATTACTGTTAGGCCGTCGCTAATGTCGCCTGCACTTGCGATACTGAGGAAGTGGGGGTGAAATTGGGGCTACTTGGAAGGGGTAACGGCACGCAACAATTCCCCCCCCCCCCCCGGACTCCAAAGCGTGCCCCCACCGCCATTTAAACCGCCAGACGCGGTGCACACTGCATCAACTCACCCGTTTCGCATTGCCTACCGCAAGCCAGCCAGACACTGCAGGTGGCATCACAGTTCAGCCACCATACTTCTGTGCCAGCCTCAGCAAGTCAACTGTCCAGCCCAGCCGCTCACATACCTGTTTGCCTATACAAAAAGCCAGCTTGTATCGACCTGGCCAGCCTGTCCAACCATGGCAGTTAAAGCCCAACAACTTTCCTCCTCTACTATCTTCAGCCGTCGCCCGCACTTGCGATACTGATTCTGACTCTACAGCGGGGTCGGAATTTGAGTGGGGGGGAAAGGAGCACTTCTAACATCCGCCGCCATTTTGGCCTTCGGCGGGGGGCGTCCACCCTACTGTGGACCGCCGAGTGATGGATGCACTGCTCAGTGGAGGAGATGGTGAGATGGGATGACGATCTCGAGGACCTCTCCCCCTCCTCAGCGGCGGCAGGAACCATTACTCTACGCCCTTCTGGGCCCTCTGCTTTTCCAATACTTTTCAGCGTTCTTACGCCGCACGGGCCTGCCGCTTGATTCGCCTTAATTTGTCCTTCACTGCGCCAAGTCGTTTTTCTTCTTTCCCCCCCTCTCCACAGGTGGCCGGCCAGGCTAACGTCACCGCACCATGTTAAAATCACGTTTAGCCACGAAGGCCGGCTCCTATCGAGACGATTTTTGCTTCACGCCTGAGCGCGTGTGCGTTTGGAGCGGAATGGCCAAGCCATGTTGATATCACGTTTAGCCGCGATCGGCGGCGGCTCCTGGGGAGGAGGAAAGAGGAAGAGGAGGAGGAACGGAGGAGGAAGGAGGAAGCGAGAGGAGAGGGAGAGGCTGATACCAAAATGCCCAGATTCGTATCATACAGTTCCGAGCAGTGCACGGCGGAGAAAATGAAACGCACCCAACCGAGCGACGCTCAGGCCTACCTGCGATAGGCGAGCCGTCGCGCGCACTGGCAACACTAGGTAACTATCTGAACCCGAGGAAGAGGAAGGAGGGAGGGGGAGGAGAAAGAGGAGAAAACAAGTTGCTAAGTCGTTTTTTGTGAACCTTCCGATCGCTCCAAGAACGTCAAACTTAATATGACCACGAACCCGACCTTGGAGGACAAGTGGGCGTAACTTGCGAGGAAGAGGGCGCATAATGTTGATTCCCGTGTTGTCAGTTTGACGCTGTGCCGCTTTAAGGCGCGTTATGCTAGCTCCCGTGCTGTCCGTTTCATGCTGTGCCACTTTGTCGGGGCGTCTCCGATCACCTTGGAGCCCTGCTGTTGGGCAGTCTTCGGGCCCTGGGGCCTCTCCGACCATCTCGGGGCCCTCTGAGGCAGTCTTGGGGCCCTCTAGGGGGCCACTGGGGGCTTACTGGGGTCCTCTTGGAAGCTTCTTGGGGCCCCTTGGAGGCCTCTTGGGGCCTCCTGTTTTTTTGGGGGGGGCGGAGAGCCCAAAATGTCGGTCCCTGCCCCCCCTCTTGGGCCTCTCTTTTGGGCGTTCCCGAGGCCTTCTAGGAGCCATCTTGAAGGCCTCTTGGGCCGTCTTGGGGGCGTCTTGGACCGTCTGGGCGCTCTCTGGGGGGCCTCTTGGGGGCCTCTGAGGCCGTCTTGGGGGGATCTCTCGGCCTGCGAAAAATCTTCAAAAACCAATCGGAAATCAATTAATTTTGCCTCTCGGAGCCCTCTTGGAACCCCTCTAGGAAACCTCGCGGGGCCTCTTCGGGGCCATCTGGGAGGGTCTGGTCCGAACAGTAGGCGACTCGTGGCCCTGCTGGACCTTCTTACGGACCATCTTGGGGCCGCCCATGCCGCACGGAAGCCTGTCTACCGAAATAGGGCCGTCTTCCGCCGGCTTCCGCCAGCGTTCGCCGCGTGGCCGGGGCCATGTCCCGGGGGGTATCCCCCCAGACCCCCACATGGGAACACTAAACGGGAACCCCTCCGCCAGGTCGGGGAAAAAGGAGGAGGGGCACGAGCCGGAGAGAGGGAGAAGAATGGGGGGAGGAGGACGACAGGATGGGTGGGGGGGGGCGAAATGGAGGAGGGAGGGAGGAGGAGCAGGTGGAGGGAGAGGGACGGAGGAGCAGAGAGGAGTAGGAACATGAGGGGGGAGATGAAGGTGTGGAGGGGAATAATAGGAACATGATGCATAATGCGCCAATTGCCACGCAGAACAGCACCCAGCGGCACGCGGTCGTTCTTTCGATCTCCAATAGTCAACCACCCAATAGTCTTGGCAGACATTTGGCTGAACCGAGTCGCCGCGCCAAGCGACGATGGTAGTCTGACAGATTCCTCCCAAAAGCCCCTCAGCCATCCCGTCTGAAATCCCGCTGCCCCGACGATCACGCAATCGCATTGGCCTCGCCAGGGGGCCAGCCGATGTCACGTCTGCTCAGACTTCACGCAGTAGAGTCCAACGCCTGGGCCAGTTGGCACGCGGCCACTACCTCCACAATGTCAGCGTGCACGCCCATGGCAATAACACAGCGACAACAAGCATCGCACAAGCACGCAACATGGCGACTCACATCCCAACGACCTGGGCCAACTGCAATGCAACCGTGCGAGGCAACCGCGTGGAAACACCGAGCGTGCCAAAAGCGTAACGACTTCACCGACTACGCAAGCTACCACAGCTACACCAGCCGCGAGCTCCAATGGTGGCCGCCACTAACCAAACATTCAATACCTAAAGCGCCGGTGTCGTTATTATCAACGTCGCATACACAGCAACAAAACCAACGACCGTGATGCTGGCGTGCAGCAGCTTGCCGTTTTGGTCGGCCTGAACACGATCTCGCTTACAAGTCGTCAGCGGCATCTCTACCGCAAAGAGCAAAATGCTCGAACCCACCGCAATCGGCTGCAACCGACCTAACGACAAATCCCGTTCCAATTGCTGGGCAGACTCGACACGTACGCTAGCCGACAGCTAGGCGGCCAGCAACAACACCTAAGCAGTGATCACGGTGCCCAGACACACAGAGTTTTATAGGCACGCCTGCGTCATATAACGAAGATTTGTTTATAAAGAACGCTGAACCATTGGCACCGAGCCGTGAGATGGAGCACCTCCAGACAAGCCGAGAACGCCACACGCGATGCCATATCACGAAGAAGAGGGGATATAGGAGAAGAGAGGAAGAGACGGCCGGATGGAGGAGGGAGGAGGAAGGAGAAGCAGAGAGCGGGAGGTAAGAGAAGAACAGCATAGACCTTCGACGACCAAGTCTTTTCGAGTCTCGCAGCAGCCCGGGACAACTCGACCCTTTCAGCGAGCGGGTTTTGATGTCCCAAGGGCCCGAGAATGGCCTCTGGAGGCCGAGGACGCAAGAAAAAACACCTGATATTGTCACGAACCCCGACCTTGGAGGACAAGTGGGCGTGAATTGCGAGATAGAGAAAACTGAGAAAAGGATGCCTATTGGACGCATTCTGCTGGTTCCCGTGTTGTCCGTTTGACGCTGTGGCGCTTTGTCGAGGCGCCTCCAGCCGTCGTGGGGCCCTCTTAGGGCTGTCCTGAGGCCCTGTTGGGCGCTTCTGGGGGCTTGCTGGAGACCTCCTCAGGTGAGCTCAGGAAATTGCCATACGAGCCAGGAGGTCTCGAGGCTGTCCGTTTGTCGCTGTGAGGCTTTGCCGAGGCACTTCCAACAGTCCTGGAGTCGTGGGGCAGTCCTGGGGCTCTTTTGGACGCTTCTGGGGGCTTCCTGGAAGCGTGGTGAGGTCCTGAGGCATGTTGGGGTCGTCTTGGGGGCCTCTTGGGGCTGCCTCAGGTCCTTCAGCCGTCCTGGCGCCTTCCTGAGGGAGTCCCAGGGCTGTCCGTTTTTCGCTTTGACGCTGGATTTGATAACTTGCGGCGGTCGGGGGCCGCATGCGGCCGTATTGAAGCCTCCTGGAGGCTTCTTGTAGGGCTGTCTGGCAATACGAAAAGTCGCTTGGGGCTACTCTGCGACAGCTGTCCAGAGGGAACGGCGGCCAGAAAAACAACGGTGCGTCTTGGAGGTGAGCTCAGAACGCGACCATGCGAGCCACGGGGTGAGCTCAGCACGTTCCCATGCGAGCCCAGAAGAGGAAGGCCAGGGTGCGCATTACATTGGTTTCCGTGCGGTCCGACTGACGCTGTGCTGCTTAACGCGCATTCCATCGATTCCCGTGTTGTTCGTTTGACGCCGTGACGCTTTGTCGAGGCGCCTCCAGCCGTCGTGGGGCCCTCTTGGGGCTGTCCTGAGGCCCTGTTGGGCGCTTCTGGGGGCTTGCTGAAGACCTCGTAAGGTGGGCTAAGGAAATTTCCGTACGAGCCAGGAACTCCCGGGGCTGTCCGTTTGTCGTTGTGACGCTTGGGGGCCTCTTGGGGCTTCCTCAGGTCCTTCAGCCGTCCTGGGGCCCTCCTGAGGGAATCCTGGGGCTGTCCGTTTGTCGCTCTGACGCTTTGTCGAGGCTCTTCCAGCAGTCCTGGGATCTTGGGGCAGTCCTGGGGCTCTCTTGGGGGCTTGTCGGGGCTTTCTGGAGGCGTCTTGAGGTCTTGAAGCCTCTTGGGGTCTTCTTGGGGGTCTCTTGGGGTCTCAGCACGTTCCTGTGTTGTCCGTTTGACGCTGTGAGGCTTTGTCGAGGAACTGCAAGCCGTTCTGGGGTTCTCTTGGGGCAGTGCTGCGCCCATCTTGGGCGCTTCTGGGAGCTTGCTGGAGGCCTCTGAAGGTTCTTGGGTGCCTTTGGGGGCCTCTTCAAGGGTTATTGGGGCCTCTTGGGAACTTCTTGGGAACTTCTGGGGGCCTCTGGAAGGGTGATTGGGGCGGAGAACCGGAAACATCGGATTTCGTCGAAGGTTGTGTCGGGAACGTTTCGGAAGAAAAGGTGGCCAAGAAAACGACGATGCGTCTTGGAAGTGGGCCCAGCACGCGACTAGGCGAGTTACGAGGTGAGCTCAGCACGTGTCCATGCGAGCCACATGGAAGGGAGGGGGTGCGCTCAGCTCGCGACAGTGCGAGTCACGAGGTGAGCTCAGCACGTTTCCATGCGAGCCACAGGGAAGGGAGGGGGCGCGGTTGCATATGAGAAAATTGGGTTTGGAGGATTTGGGGGCTCCTGGGGGCCGCCGGGTTTGGTTGGAGGTTGTGTCGGGGACGTGTCTGACTGTATGAGGACTGGATTGGACAACTTGCGGCGGTCGGGGGCCGCATGCGGCCGTATTGAAGCCTCCTGGAGGCTTCTTGTAGGGCTGTCTGGCAATACGAAAAGTCGCTTGGGGTTTCTCTGCAATGTCCAGAGGGAACGGCGGCCAGAAAAACAACGGTGCGTCTTGGAGGTGAGCTCAGAACGCGACCATGCGAGCCACGGGGTGAGCTCAACACGTTTCTATGCGAGTCCAGAAGAGGAAGGCCAAGGTGCGCATTACATTGGTTCCCGTGTGGTCCGACTGACGCTGTGCTGCTTAACGCGCATTCCATTGGTTCCCGTGTTGTCCGTTTGACGCCGTGACGCTTTGTCGAGGCGCCTCCAGCCGTCGTGGGGCTCTCTTGGGGCTGTCCTGAGGCCCTGTTGGGCGCTTCTGGGGGCTTGCTGAAGACTTCGTAAGGTGAGCTCAGGCAATTTCCGTACGAGCCAAGAAGTCCGGGGGCTGTCCGTTTGTCGTTGTGACGCTTGGGGGCCTCTTGGGGCCTCCTCAAGTCCTTCAGCCGTCCTGGGGCCCTCCTGCGGGAGTCCCGGGGCTGTCCGTTTGTCGCTCTGACGCTTTGTCGAGGTGCTTCCAGCAGTCCTGGGATCTTGGGGGCCTTGTCGGGGCTTTCTGGAGGCGTCTTGAGGTCTTGAGGCCTCTTGGGGTCTTCTTCGGGGTCTCTTGGGGTCTCATCACGTTCCCGTGTTGTCCGTTTGACGCTGTGAGGCTTTGTCGAGGCGCCTCCAGCCGTCCTGGGGTTCTCTTGGGGCAGTGCTCGGCCCATCTTGGGCGCTTCTGGAGGCTTGCTGGAAGCCTCTGAAGGGTTCTTGGGGGCCTTTTGGGGCCTCTGCAACGGTTATTGGGGCCTCTTGGGGGCTTCTTGGGAACCTCTGAGGGCCTCAGGAGGGGTCATTGGGGCAGAGAACCCGACACATCGGCCCCTGCCTCCGCTCCAGGGGCTCTCTTGGGCGTGCCTGGGGCGCTTGTGAGGCTGTCTTGGAGGCCTCTTGGGTCGTCTTGAAGACGTCTTGGGCCGTCTGAGCGCTCTCTTGGGGGTCTCTGAGGCTGTCTTGGGGCGTTCTTTGGGGCATCTTGGGCCGTCTTGGAGCGGCGGGAGCCGAACAGGCGAAAACCAAACAACTTCAAACGCCTAAGGAAAACTAGCGATCTTTTACGTTTCGGGCTCTCCTGGCAAGCCTTTTGGGGGCCTCTCGGGGCGTCTTTCGGGCTCCCTGGACGTCGGGGCGCCATATTGGGCGTCTCTGGGGGCTTCTGGAGGAGCCATCGGGGCGAACAACCCGAAAAATCGGCCCCTGCCTTCGCTCCGGGGGCTCTCTTGAGGCGTGCCTGGAACACTTGTGAGGCCGTCTTGGAGGCCTCTTGGGTCGTCTTGAGGACGTCTTGAGCGGTCTGAGCGCTCTCTTGGGGTCTTGGGGCGTTCTTTGGGACCTCTTGGGCCGTCTCGGAGCGGCGGGAAGCCGAAAATGCGAAAATCCAAACAACCTTCAAAAACCTAAGGAAAACTAATGATGTTTGACGTTTCGGGCTCTCCTGGAACGCCTCTTGGGGGCCTCTCGGGGCGTCTTTTGGGCTTCGTGGGACGTCGGGGCGCCATATTGGGCGTCTTGGGCCGATCTTTCGGCCACTCGAGGCCTTCTTGAACCACCTTGTGGACCATCTTGGGGCTGTCCGTGCCTCTCGGAAGCGAACCTGCGGAAATGGGGCCATATCCTGCCGTCTTCTGCTGTTTTCCGCCCGTGGCCGGGGCCATCTCCCGGGGGGTCCCCCCCCAGACCCCCCAAGGGGAACACACAACAAGAACCCCTCCGCCAGGTCGGGGCATCAGAACCGAAACTTCCGAGCCTCTGGAAATCTTGTCGGGAGGCGACCCCAGCTTTCCCAAGGAGGCGCAGATGGCTCCCAGAGCACCCCTCGTAAGGCCCAGAGGGCCCCTGGCACCAAAAGGGGCGCGATGCGCAGGGGACACCCTGGGCTCCTGGCCACACTCGACCTGGGGGATCCCCTCCGTGCAGAGGCACTCTCTTTCCAAATGTGATGTGCGCGCCGGCGGGGCCGCCTCGTCCGGCACGGCGTCGTGGATCACGAAGGCTACCCCGGCTCCGCCTGCAGCTCGGAAAAGAGAGAACCGCCGCCAGTCGTTGCCGCCGTGGTTGCCGCCGCCGCCGCCGTCGCCGCCGCCGCCGCCGCCGCCGCCGTCGTCGTCATCGCAGGCGCCACCGCCGCCGCCACTGTCGTCGTCGTCGTCGTGACGACGTCATCGGGGGTCGAACGGCCTCCTGGTTGTGGACGTCTCTGTGGAATCTCGGGGGAGACAAAGAGAGTCCCGCGCGACGCTGCGGATCGGCACGAGCTCCCCCGCCGCCGCCCGCAGGAGGCGATGGGGGGCGCGGAAGAGGGGAGCGCCGCCAGAGCAGCGGGGTGCACTCGCAGGAGGGGGATCGGCGGGGGTGCACGCCATCAGCGGTGAAGCCCAGGACAAGCGCCATGCTGGTGACGCGTGGCGCTCCGTCAGTGCGGAGGCGCTGCTCGCTGGGGCGGGGGCGGGTGCCGCGCTGGCGGAGGCATCTGGCCGACCTCCTCGGCGGGAGCGCCAACGGGGCCCGCAGGGCTGCTGGCCCTCGCGGCGATCGCCTACGTGCTTTGCCTGCGGGCTGGCGCCCCCCCTCGAGAAGGATCGCTCCAAAATCTCCCGACCTTGTTCCCGCCTCCCCTCCCGGGGTCGGCCCGTCTTGGGGTGTGGTTACCGCCAAGGCCGATCTGGCTTGCCTTCAGAGAGGACGGCAAGGGGAGGAGCGAAGAGTGTAATTCATGCAGATGAGGGGCAATACCGATCTTTGCACGACGCCTTGTGGCTCACTATGACTTCAGGTGAGAGCCACTGTCAGCAGCCCGTCGGCGTTTGGGTTGGGTTCTCCTTCAGGGATCAGCACCCAGGGGACCGTGCCACCTGACGGACCTCCCAGACCCTGCGGGGACAACTCCTCCCCCTCCCTGGACACACACCGCCCCCCCTCCATGGGCGGGCCACGCCCATGCGGATGGACAGGCGATGCAGATTGGCACAGCGATGGGGTAGGAAGGTCGCTCGAATCTCATGCAGGTGGCTGCTACCCTCCTCACCTTTTTTGTGGCAGATGGCCCCTCTCGTCGGGTCCCTTGTGAATGATGCGAAAGTAATCACGCTTAGCTTCATTATGTAGGCGTCCCTCCTGTTCAAGGCAGCAGCACAACACAACTGCATTTAGAAAATGGATCCTTGCGCAAGGCAGGGTGACATACCAGCAGCAGCCCGCTGCCACTCCACTTCAAATATGGTAGTTCGTTCCCATCTGGCCGTTGCTCAGGATAGGCAGGTCGCTGATACTTCGCCGCCAACCGAAGATTATCCGATCCCTGAGGCCGAAAAGCTGGCACATCTCGTCCCTGACGCCCGTTGCAAGAGCTGGCGTTGCACGATTTGTGGGGCCGAGGATCGGCTCCAGGGGCACCGCCCTCGAGCCTACGATCTAGCAGCAGATGCTGTAATGCCCATTGCTGCAATCGTTCCTGCGCGACGCTTGTTGACTGGACCCCCCCAGGCACAGGCCTCTCACAATTAGCCATGACAAATATGGAGGGTAGATGTGAAACAGGATGTGGCTGAGCAGTGAATGAGCATGGTACAATATGCTGTGAGAACGTCTCACTCCGATCGTCACAGCTCGAACAAGCCAGAGCGCTTCATACGGGGATTTCATGCCCTCTGCGAGTGATGTGGAAAAGCCCCAGCACAGCTGCCAGTCTGACACTGCTGAGCCAGGTCTACGGCGTCGACGACTCTTCGCCCCGCCGCCGCCGCTGCCTTCTCCTCCTCCTCACCTCCTCCTCCTCCGTTCCCTTCGGGTTGACTGACCTATCCCCGTCGCACCGCCAGGCGTATCGGTAGCGCGGGTCGGGCGTTTCGCATGAGAACTCCTCACATTAATGTTCGTGAACCTGGAAAATTGCAGCAGTTTCACGGATGGAAGGCGGGCGGTTTTCAAAATCCCACGAGCCCTTTGAGCTAAGGTGGTCCAGCGAGCTCTTTCTTTCCTCTTCCAACCTGATGTAGCCACGAACCCCGGCCTTGGAGGACAAGTGGGCGTGACTTGCGAGGAAGAGAAAAACAAAAGAAGAGGATGCCTATAGGGTGCATAATGCTGATTCCCGTGTTGTCCGTTTCACGCTGTGCCGCTTTAAGGCGCATTATGCTGGTTCCAGTGTTGTCCGTTTAAGGCCATGCCTCTTTGTCGGGGCGTCTCCGACCATCTTGGAGCCCTGTTGGGCAGCCTTCGGGCTCTGGGGCGTCACACAGAGCTGAGACGATGTTGGATATGGGGCCTTCTTATAGCCTCTCGGAAGCCTCTTGGGCCCTCCTGAGGGCCTCTTGGGGCCTCCTGGTGGTCCTTTTGGACGGAGAGCCCAAAATGGCGGTCCTGGCCCCCCCTGTCCCCCTGTGGAGGCCTTCTTGGGGCGTTCCTGGGGCTTCGGAGGCCGTCTTGGAGGGCTCTTGGGCCGTTCTGACGTTCTGAAGCGTTTGCGTTTATCCTGGGGCTCTCTTGGGCAAGTGGGCGTGACTTGAAGCAAGAGAGCAGCAAAGAAACGGATGCCAAGAAGGCATCTGACGTTGGTTCCCGTCTTGTCCGTTTGACGCCTGCCTTCTGGGAGGTTTACCTTTCCCCCCTCCCTGATGTTTTTTGTGGGGTTGGGTGGGGTTCGCGACGCGTTAGGGCGTCCAAGATGGCTCGAATAGGGCCTCGGATGCTCCAAAATGGCTTCCAAGATGGCTCAAGATAACCGGCAATAATTCAAGATAGCTTCCGACATAGCTCCCAGATGCCCGACGAGGGCCGCAAGACGTATCCAAATGCTCTCGGAGCCCCCTCCCAAGAGACAAGAATCCTTCAAACACCCAAGGCAACTCACAGATTTGTGCCTTCTCGCCTTGTCGCTTCCAATACGGCTTGAAGCCTCAAGATGGCCCCAAGATGGCCCAAGAGGGGCCCAAGAGGCCCCCCAGACGGCCCCAAGAGTGCCCAAGAGCGGCCCAAAAGGGCTCCAAGAGACGATTTCGATGACCCCAGGGGGGGGAGGCACATTGCCCCCCTCCCCCCCCTCCTTTTGATCGATGGCCTCCGAGATGGCTCCAAGAGGCCCTCCAGGGCTCCCATGGGATCCCGAAGAGGTTTCCAAGAGGGCCCCAAGACCCCCCAAAAGATCCCCAAGAGAACCCTACGATCATCTAAAATAGTCCCTAGAGGGCTCCACGAAGCGATTTTGAGGGCTCCGTCCTCGACTTCTTTGTCCTCTTCCTTCTCCTCCTCGTCGTCGTCCTTGTCCTCATCGTCTTCATTTTCCTTTTCCTCCTCTTCCTCGTCGTCGTGGTGGTGGTCGTGGTCGTGGTCGTGGTCGTGGTCGTCGTCATCTTCCTCCTCCTCCTCCTCCTCCTCTTCTTCCTCCTGCTCCTCCTCCCTCGCCCCCCCCCCCCCACGCGGGCCCCAGGGATGGCCCGATGAGGACCTCCAAAGGCACCTTGCTACCAGAGATTTCTCTGTTCACCCTGGTTGCCCGCTTTGTTTCAATTCATGCATGTGTATTTTCGTCCCTTTTCTCGTCAACTCTCACGGGCAAGGTTTGTGAATGGGCAGTTGGGAATACACAAAGCGTGAATAATTAGGCTCTCGCCTTAGCGCCGCGAACATTCGTCCTAAACGTTTGCAGCCGTTTCAAGGATGGAGGTAGTTTTCAAACTGTAGCTCTTGCCTAAGTGCTGCGCGCATTCGCCATACACAAGTTGCAACAGTTTCAAGGATGGAGGGCGGTTCCTTTTCAAAATGTGGCTCTTGCCGTAGCGCCGCGCGCATTCTTCTTTAAACGTTTGCAGCAATTTCAAGGATTCGTGCTGTTTCAGTCTCAGGAACGGTGTCCTGGCACGGTTTATGATTGTGAGGACGGAACAGTCACGTTGATTCGCGGTGTTAGTCCCAGGAATGGGGTTCTGGCAGGATTCAAATTTGACAGGACGCAACTGTAACGTTGATTCGCGACGTTGCCTC